ATGTTTCTGTTGTTGTAGATGGTGGTGTTACAGTTGTAGTGCTAGTTGGTATTGTAGGAGTTGTAGTTGACACTGTAGTAGTTGTAGAGGTAACAGGAGATGTTTCCGGTGTTGTAGATGGAGGTGTCACAGTTGTAGTGCTAGTTGGTATTGTAGGAGTTGTAGTTGACACTGTAGTAGTTGTAGAGGTAACAGGAGATGTTTCTGTTGTTGTAGATGGTGGTGTTACAGTTGTAGTGCTAGTTGGTATTGTAGGAGTTGTAGTTGACACTGTAGTAGTTGTAGAGGTAACAGGAGATGTTTCTGTTGTTGTAGATGGTGGTGTTACAGTTGTAGTGCTAGTTGGTATTGTAGGAGTTGTAGTTGAAACTGTAGTAGTTGTAGAGGTAACAGGAGATGTTTCTGTTGCTGTAGATGGTGGTGTTACAGTTGTAGTGCTAGTTGGTATTGTAGGAGTTGTAGTTGACACTGTAGTAGTTGTAGAGGTAACAGGAGATGTTTCCGGTGTTGTAGATGGTGGTGTTACAGTTGTAGTGCTAGTTGGTATTGTAGGAGTTGTAGTTGACACTGTAGTAGTTGTAGAGGTAACAGGAGATGTTTCCGGTGTTGTAGATGGTGGTGTTACAGTTGTAGTGCTAGTTGGTATTGTAGGAGTTGTAGTTGACACTGTAGTAGTTGTAGAGGTAACGGGAGATGTTTCCGGTGTTGTAGACGGTGGTGTTACAGTTGTAGTGCTAGTTGGTATTGTAGGAGTTGTAGTTGACACTGTAGTAGTTGTAGAGGTAACAGGAGATGTTTCCGGTGTTGTAGATGGTGGTGTTACAGTTGTAGTGCTAGTTGGTATTGTAGGAGTTGTAGTTGACACTGTAGTAGTTGTAGAGGTAACAGGAGATGTTTCCGGTGTTGTAGACGGTGGTGTTACAGTTGTAGTGCTAGTTGGTATTGTAGGAGTTGTAGTTGACACTGTAGTAGTTGTAGAGGTAACAGTAGATGTTTCTGTTGTTGTAGATGGTGGTGTTACAGTTGTAGTGCTAGTTGGTATTGTAAGAGTTGTAGTTGACACTGTAGTAGTTGTAGAGGTAACAGGAGATGTTCCTGTTGTTGTAGACGGTGGTGTTACAGTTGTAGTGCTAGTTGGTATTGTAGGAGTTGTAGTTGACACTGTAGTAGTTGTAGAGGTAACAGGAGATGTTTCTGTTGTTGTAGATGGTGGTGTTACAGTTGTAGTGCTAGTTGGTATTGTAGGAGTTGTAGTTGACACTGTAGTAGTTGTAGAGGTAACAGGAGATGTTTCCGGTGTTGTAGATGGTGGTGTTACAGTTGTAGTGCTAGTTGGTATTGTAGGAGTTGTAGTTGACACTGTAGTAGTTGTAGAGGTAACAGGAGATGTTTCCGGTGTTGTAGATGGAGGTGTCACAGTTGTAGTGCTAGTTGGTATTGTAGGAGTTGTAGTTGACACTGTAGTAGTTGTAGAGGTAACAGGAGATGTTTCTGTTGTTGTAGATGGAGGTGTCACAGTTGTAGTGCTAGGTGGTATTGTAGGAGTTGTAGTTGACACTGTAGTAGTTGTAGAGGTAACAGGAGATGTTTCCGGTGTTGTAGATGGAGGTGTCACAGTTGTAGTGCTAGTTGGTATTGTAGGAGTTGTAGTTGACACTGTAGTAGTTGTAGAGGTAACAGGAGATGTTTCCGGTGTTGTAGATGGTGGTGTTACAGTTGTAGTGCTAGTTGGTATTGTAGGAGTTGTAGTTGACACTGTAGTAGTTGTAGAGGTAACAGGAGATGTTTCTGTTGTTGTAGATGGTGGTGTTACAGTTGTAGTGCTAGTTGGTATTGTAGGAGTTGTAGTTGACACTGTAGTAGTTGTAGAGGTAACAGGAGATGTTTCCGGTGTTGTAGATGGTGGTGTCACAGTTGTAGTGCTAGTTGGTATTGTAGGAGTTGTAGTTGACACTGTAGTAGTTGTAGAGGTAACAGGAGATGTTTCTGTTGTTGTAGATGGAGGTGTCACAGTTGTAGTGCTAGTTGGTATTGTAGGAGTTGTAGTTGACACTGTAGTAGTTGTAGAGGTAACAGGAGATGTTTCCGGTGTTGTAGATGGTGGTGTTACAGTTGTAGTGCTAGTTGGTATTGTAGGAGTTGTAGTTGACACTGTAGTAGTTGTAGAGGTAACAGGAGATGTTTCCGGTGTTGTAGATGGAGGTGTCACAGTTGTAGTGCTAGTTGGTATTGTAGGAGTTGTAGTTGACACTGTAGTAGTTGTAGAGGTAACAGGAGATGTTTCTGTTGTTGTAGATGGTGGTGTTACAGTTGTAGTGCTAGTTGGTATTGTAGGAGTTGTAGTTGACACTGTAGTAGTTGTAGAGGTAACAGGAGATGTTTCCGGTGTTGTAGACGGTGGTGTTACAGTTGTAGTGCTAGTTGGTATTGTAGGAGTTGTAGTTGACACTGTAGTAGTTGTAGAGGTGACAGGAGATGTTTCTGTTGTTGTAGATGGTGGTGTTACAGTTGTAGTGCTAGTTGGTATTGTAGGAGTTGTGGTTGTAACAGTAATAGTGGTAGTAGGTATTTTAGTGGTTGTTGTTGTTATGTTGCAACAGTATACACGTATTAGATGATTATGACATACTGTATATGAATTTTCTTTGTTTGAACAGAACAGTCCATAAGATGTATTGCACGTCACTTCTTGTTGAAGTTTCCATTTCTCGCCTGTGATGTTTTTACCGCCATAATTTGTCATGCATTCAATTTTGTCTGGTCTCTCACAGGATATTTTACGCTGTTTCCACAATTCACTGATGGATTCATTTTCCTTTCCTTGGATCTCTGTCCCGGGTTTGCTGTTGTCAAACCACTCTGACCATTGACAAGGTGGTGGTGTTGTAGTAAATGGTGTTCCTGTTGTTGTAGATGGTGGTGTTACAGTTGTAGTGCTAGTTGGTATTGTAGGAGTTGTGGTTGTAACAGTAATAGTGGTAGTAGGTATTTTAGTGGTTGTTGTTGTTATGTTGCAACAGTATACACGTATTAGATGATTATGACATACTGTATATGAATTTTCTTTGTTTGAACAGAACAGTCCATAAGATGTATTGCACGTCACTTCTTGTTGAAGTTTCCATTTCTCGCCTGTGATGTTTTTACCGCCATAATTTGTCATGCATTCAATTTTGTCTGGTCTCTCACAGGATATTTTACGCTGTTTCCACAATTCACTGATGGATTCATTTTCCTTTCCTTGGATCTCTGTCCCGGGTTTGCTGTTGTCAAACCACTCTGACCATTGACAAGGTGGTGGTGTTGTAGTAAATGGTGTTCCTGTTGTTGTAGACGGTGGTGTTACAGTTGTAGTGCTAGGTGGTATTGTAGGAGTTGTAGTTGACACTGTAGTAGTTGTAGAGGTAACAGTAGATGTTTCTGTTGTTGTAGATGGTGGTGTTACAGTTGTAGTGCTAGTTGGTATTGTAGGAGTTGTAGTTGACACTGTAGTGGTTGTAGAGGTGACAGGAGATGTTTCTGTTGTTGTAGATGGAGGTGTTACAGTTGTAGTGCTAGTTGGTATTGTAGGAGTTGTAGTTGACACTGTAGTAGTTGTAGAGGTAACAGGAGATGTTTCTGTTGTTGTAGATGGTGGTGTTACAGTTGTAGTGCTAGTTGGTATTGTAGGAGTTGTAGTTGACACTGTAGTGGTTGTAGAGGTAACAGGAGATGTTTCTGTTGTTGTAGATGGAGGTGTCACAGTTGTAGTGCTAGTTGGTATTGTAGGAGTTGTAGTTGACACTGTAGTAGTTGTAGAGGTAACAGGAGATGTTTCCGGTGTTGTAGATGGAGGTGTCACAGTTGTAGTGCTAGTTGGTATTGTAGGAGTTGTAGTTGACACTGTAGTAGTTGTAGAGGTAACAGGAGATGTTTCTGTTGTTGTAGATGGTGGTGTTGCAGTTGTAGTGCTAGTTGATATTGTAGGAGTTGTAGTTGACACTGTAGTAGTTGTAGAGGTAACAGGAGATGTTTCTGTTGTTGTAGACGGTGGTGTTACAGTTGTAGTGCTAGTTGGTATTGTAGGAGTTGTAGTTGACACTGTAGTAGTTGTAGAGGTGACAGGAGATGTTTCTGTTGTTGTAGATGGTGGTGTTACAGTTGTAGTGCTAGTTGGTATTGTAGGAGTTGTGGTTGTAACAGTAATAGTGGTAGTAGGTATTTTAGTGGTTGTTGTTGTTATGTTGCAACAGTATACACGTATTAGATGATTATGACATACTGTATATGAATTTTCTTTGTTTGAACAGAACAGTCCATAAGATGTATTGCACGTCACTTCTTGTTGAAGTTTCCATTTCTCGCCTGTGATGTTTTTACCGCCATAATTTGTCATGCATTCAATTTTGTCTGGTCTCTCACAGGATATTTTACGCTGTTTCCACAATTCACTGATGGATTCATTTTCCTTTCCTTGGATCTCTGTCCCGGGTTTGCTGTTGTCAAACCACTCTGACCATTGACAAGGTGGTGGTGTTGTAGTAAATGGTGTTCCTGTTGTTGTAGATGGTGGTGTTACAGTTGTAGTGCTAGTTGGTATTGTAGGAGTTGTGGTTGTAACAGTAATAGTGGTAGTAGGTATTTTAGTGGTTGTTGTTGTTATGTTGCAACAGTATACACGTATTAGATGATTATGACATACTGTATATGAATTTTCTTTGTTTGAACAGAACAGTCCATAAGATGTATTGCACGTCACTTCTTGTTGAAGTTTCCATTTCTCGCCTGTGATGTTTTTACCGCCATAATTTGTCATGCATTCAATTTTGTCTGGTCTCTCACAGGATATTTTACGCTGTTTCCACAATTCACTGATGGATTCATTTTCCTTTCCTTGGATCTCTGTCCCGGGTTTGCTGTTGTCAAACCACTCTGACCATTGACAAGGTGGTGGTGTTGTAGTAAATGGTGTTCCTGTTGTTGTAGACGGTGGTGTTACAGTTGTAGTGCTAGGTGGTATTGTAGGAGTTGTAGTTGACACTGTAGTAGTTGTAGAGGTAACAGGAGATGTTTCTGTTGTTGTAGACGGTGGTGTTACAGTTGTAGTGCTAGTTGGTATTGTAGGAGTTGTAGTTGACACTGTAGTAGTTGTAGAGGTGACAGGAGATGTTTCTGTTGTTGTAGATGGTGGTGTTACAGTTGTAGTGCTAGTTGGTATTGTAGGAGTTGTGGTTGTAACAGTAATAGTGGTAGTAGGTATTTTAGTGGTTGTTGTTGTTATGTTGCAACAGTATACACGTATTAGATGATTATGACATACTGTATATGAATTTTCTTTGTTTGAACAGAACAGTCCATAAGATGTATTGCACGTCACTTCTTGTTGAAGTTTCCATTTCTCGCCTGTGATGTTTTTACCGCCATAATTTGTCATGCATTCAATTTTGTCTGGTCTCTCACAGGATATTTTACGCTGTTTCCACAATTCACTGATGGATTCATTTTCCTTTCCTTGGATCTCTGTCCCGGGTTTGCTGTTGTCAAACCACTCTGACCATTGACAAGGTGGTGGTGTTGTAGTAAATGGTGTTCCTGTTGTTGTAGATGGTGGTGTTACAGTTGTAGTGCTAGTTGGTATTGTAGGAGTTGTGGTTGTAACAGTAATAGTGGTAGTAGGTATTTTAGTGGTTGTTGTTGTTATGTTGCAACAGTATACACGTATTAGATGATTATGACATACTGTATATGAATTTTCTTTGTTTGAACAGAACAGTCCATAAGATGTATTGCACGTCACTTCTTGTTGAAGTTTCCATTTCTCGCCTGTGATGTTTTTACCGCCATAATTTGTCATGCATTCAATTTTGTCTGGTCTCTCACAGGATATTTTACGCTGTTTCCACAATTCACTGATGGATTCATTTTCCTTTCCTTGGATCTCTGTCCCGGGTTTGCTGTTGTCAAACCACTCTGACCATTGACAAGGTGGTGGTGTTGTAGTAAATGGTGTTCCTGTTGTTGTAGACGGTGGTGTTACAGTTGTAGTGCTAGGTGGTATTGTAGGAGTTGTAGTTGACACTGTAGTAGTTGTAGAGGTAACAGTAGATGTTTCTGTTGTTGTAGATGGTGGTGTTACAGTTGTAGTGCTAGTTGGTATTGTAGGAGTTGTAGTTGACACTGTAGTAGTTGTAGAGGTAACAGGAGATGTTTCTGGTGTTGTAGATGGTGGTGTTACAGTTGTAGTGCTAGTTGGTATTGTAGGAGTTGTAGTTGACACTGTAGTAGTTGTAGAGGTAACAGGAGATGTTTCTGTTGTTGTAGACGGTGGTGTTACAGTTGTAGTGCTAGTTGGTATTGTAGGAGTTGTAGTTGACACTGTAGTAGTTGTAGAGGGAACAGGAGATGTTTCTGTTGTTGTAGATGGTGGTGTTACAGTTGTAGTGCTAGTTGGTATTGTAGGAGTTGTAGTTGACACTGTAGTAGTTGTTTTGTCATGTTGGGAACAATAAGTAGTATTGCTTATTTCCCCGTTTTCCATACATACACCTGCTTCGAAACATGTATCATTCTTGGGTGAGATGTGGTAAACTACTGATCCAGCAGGGAATGCATCATTGTTATAGGTACAGTTACATTGTTTAACACAGGTCACGGTTTTTTCATCCAAAAGATATGGACTATCTGGAGGGCACTGAGGAAAACATCCTTTGCAAAATATAAAATATAGAAGGAAGAGACAAAGAAAATGGTTATTATTAGTTTTGTCTGTCCATCACCAGTGAAAAATATAGGTAAAGAATCCCATTTTTATTTAGTATATTTAGGTGTGTAATGTTCAAACTATGAAAATATAATTTGGTGCAATTTTTTTCTCATGAAACAAGATTCATCCACTGAATCTAGCACTTAGTTACAGTAAATGGTAAATGTAAATAAATAAACAAATACTCAAACAATTTGACAAGTTAAACGTAAGCAAATTCATCTTTTTCAGCCTTCATTGAGTCTACAAACTTTGGGACAGTCTATAAAACGTCTGTAGTATTAAAAAAGTTTATGGCTAACCTTCAAGGAGAGGAATTTGATCAGAGCAAGTTCCTGAGGGGTTTTTGCAGGTTTTCTGGCAAGGCGGTCCACAGGTTTGATAGTGCCAATCACATTTCCCCTTAGGGTTGTAGTAGTCACAGAATAAAGCTGCATGAACAACCAACTTGGTCAGAACAATGAAAACACTTATAGTAGAAGAGAAATCATAGAAGTTTATTTCAATTTGAAGAACAGTACAATAAACAAACTCTTACTGAATTGTTTATATTTAAAAGTAAAATATTTGCAGACATTTTAGAAATTTCAGGACTCACGGCAAATCCTTGGGCTCCGCCATGCTACACAAACTCCTTTTTTACGGCATTCAGCAGCATAAGCTGCCACTGCAGTACAGAAACAATCACAGTCACTGCTGTCACATGCACAGGTGTCTGTTTTACAGTCTTCATAATATTGTTTAGAGTCCACCTAAGAACAGAGAGACAGAACATTTCAAAGCTTCTGTTTTCTATTCTATTCAATGTATGACCGTTGATTGGAATGAGTAAATGATTACATTTTCCTGTTTGGGTAAACTCGCTTGTAAAATTTTAAAATTATTTTTATTTCTATTTATATATTTATGAAATCAAGTTTGGCGAAACATGTCAAAGAATCTCTCATGTATAAAAAAAAAGATAAAAATGGAAGGCCAAAATTTGACTCGTTTTTGTTCCAAATTTGGTGTCATAAAATAAAAGTGTAATTTCTGTGCCACTAGTGTCACCAAACAGTATTGTAAAAAATATGAATTTTAAATAGGTTCCCCAAAAACTGTTACTACTGTTACAAAAATCTGCCATTGGTCAGTTCAAAGTATGTGAACATCAAAAAATTACACATCACATGTAACAACTGTACAAAATTGTTTATATTATTACTTACAAGAGAATGACAATCTTTAAAGACATCCTTTATTATGATGCTACATTGTTTTTCAGCCCAGACACTCCGATGTGAATACTCTTTACAAAGGTCTATCACGTTTGTCACATCTGGGAGCGTGGGCTTCACCTTCCAGCTATTACCAAATTCCTCTGAATCGGTCACCACTTCTCCATTGTGCTTCATAAAGTCATTGTTTGCATTGCCATCAAAGTTTCCACACAGTCCACACACCTTGCCCTGCCACAGAGATCATGTGAATGTTTAGGTGAGTAGTTGAACAAAGGGTAGAGTATTTGTATGTTTGTGTCTGAACGGGTGTACCTTTAAGGCATACATACCTTTAATTTAGGATGGAGTTGAAGCATTAGACTTGTTTTATTGTCCCAGATTAAGTTGAAAAGACCTTTGACCTCTGTGACAATATATATCCCCGCAGAATGGATTTGATATTCGTAATCAGTGTCACTGCTATTAATAATTTTGACTCCATCCTCGGATAAATGTATCTCATTGATCTAAATTTGGAATTGTGAGAAAAATAAATATTATATTCATCATTGTTAAAATAAGAAAAATTCGAGAAGTGAAGAAGCCAATCGGGCATTGAAGCAGAACATGCCATAGTTGAAGGTGTGCAAGTACCAGCGTGCAGCAGAGTGATTTTTGTTTGCCAAGTGGATGCACTGTTCCAACCCAAGTTGCTGTTGCTGCTTATAAAACCAAAGGAAAAAGATAGCTAAAATCTGCAGATGTATATCCAACGAGCTTTGAGTAAATTGTATGCAGAGTTCGTTTAAGGACAGCTGTCCTTCATCAACTTTGACCATGTTCACACAGCAGCAGAATCTGTTGTCTGTCTTGTATTTAAAGGGGTGATGAACTGAGAAATCAAATTTTCCTTGAGCTTTTGACATCTAAGAGGTCATCTATTATACGAATATCCTGTAAGTTTCAGAACTGAAAACGTCCTTGTTAGTCCAATAAAAGCTTTTATGGGCTATATATGCACGCATAAGTTCCGCATTTGACGCAAGGATGCTCGTCCATTTCTGGTTGTGGAGATTTAAGCGGAGGAAAACCGAGGAAAACGGGATTATGGCAGAGTCTTCAAAATTGACTGTCCTCCCATCCTTGAAACGAAACATACATACGTTTAGATATAATTTTATATATAGTTATGTTTATTTAATATAATTTTAAAAAGAACCATAAACACAACGAGGGGTGTCTGTTTTATCTGTTTTTGTGACTAACGTTTCCTTAGTATAACCATGGAGTATAAAATTCAATATAAATTCTCGGTATTGCCGGTATTGCATTGGACTCTACGATCGGCGGAAGTTATCGAGCATCCTTACACCTTCACCGGAAATACCGCCGTGCATAGAGCCCATTGACACCAGCCTTAGCAAACGACTCGTTTTTCAAAGTGGGGAACTATGACGACAAAGAGGATTAAACACCACCCCCGCAGAAGAAGATCAACGCCTACTTCAACACGGCCGGTTTAGCCCTGCCCACCAATTCGCGCATTACACGCATAGCTAAATAACATACAGATGCCTACCTCATGATGACAAACCGGATCGAACTACCGAGCGAGCAATACAAAATATTGTGCAGTGCCTGGTTTTGGAAGAAGACAGTCCCTGCATAAGCTTCCTCTGGATTCCAATAGGACTGCAAAACTTTATTTTTCATGACGTTCCAGTCAGTAGAGGATCAGAGGGTAAAAAACTCATCAGAGGGTAAAACCGTCTGTTCGCTTAATTTAACTGAGGATTGTTTTGGAAACAAGACTGGATTTGCAGACCGATTAAGAGTAAAGAACGGTGCTGTGCTGTCTATATTGGATCTGACAGGAATGGTTCAACACACAGACTCTGGGTCGAACATGTCACGGTGGACGTTTTCTCTGTTTCCTTCTAGTCTCGTATTTTTGTTGTTGTATGAATGCACGTGTGAGAGGCGTGTCTGTATGACATCACCTGATCCGCTCCAGCTGTTCATCATTACATCACCAGCTGCAGTTGATCATCACCACTCTATTTATACTCACCGCTGTTCTTTCATCCTTGTCAGATCGTTGTTTCATGTGGTTCGTGTTGGTGTACCGGTGTCGAGTTCCTGCCTTGTGTTCCCGTTTCGTCGTCTGGATTCCAGTGTTCATCGTTCGTCTAATCACCGTGTCATCACCTCACTTCTCCACGGATACTGACCATCTTGTCCCTGCGTCACTGTTACCACCTCTTTGCACTGCCGATTCTGTGAGCCTTAAATAAATTGTCAACTTGCTATTGCTTCCTGTCATTCGTTTATATCCCGTGACAGAACATGTATGGGCGAATCATTCCGGTTGCCATTTTACAACATTGGACGTTTTCAAAACAATTTTCCCCACGTACACCGACGGGTGAGTTGAAACTCATTATAATATGCAAAACTGTTCTCCACTCACAGCAGTGGGCGTTTACTTCCAAGTCTCCAGTGCGAGATGCCATGGGCGTCAGTTTGGTTTGAAATGTGCTGGGGACAGAGACGTATTCGGAAGGGCATTTTGAAAAGTGCTGGGTACAAATGACGCATTCATTCTTTTTTTCTCTTTCGAGTAGGTCATGTATTGAAAGACGATGTCCTGTTGGTTCCTGATGTACATAAATAAAAATGAGCACAATGTCCGAGTATAGTGAGTATACAGAGTATATACGCCCTTTATTGTATATGTACGGTGATGGTCCAGGGATAGAATTTTTTGCCTAGCGTGTCGGGACTCGGGGGGTTCGAGGTTCTAATCCGCACTCATATAGTTTTTTTTTTTCCCTTCATCAAATCCAATAATGTTTATCAGTGGTTGAATTGATATAATGTTTATCAGTGGCTGTATATGTTTTGATGAGGGAAAAAATATATACTAGAGCGGAATTAGAACCCATGAGAAACAGGGACAGACACGTTTGTGTGCATCTTGATTTGTGATTTCACCGGAACGAATCCGCAACGGATTGAAGCGCATTTCCAACACATTTCAGTGCTAGATCGCCTGTTATTTAACAAACAAATGAAACGAATGCTGTTAACTGGAGATGTTTTATTTGTATTGGTACATCTGTGCCGCGAGATGTTTCAAAAGTGGTGGTGACAAAATCGACTCTGGCAAAAAGTGGTGGGGACATGTCCCACCCGTCCCCCCCCATAAATGACGCATATGCGAGACGCCCATAAAAACCAAGCGTTTCTGAGCTGGGCTCAAAACTACTGTAAAAAATAGCCTATTACTTATTCGTTTTGATGTTTTTGAATGCAAAAACCAAGTGAACGTCATAAGTTGACCTTAGACAACAATATAATAAAATTTAAAAAGCCAGTTCATGACTCCTTTAAGTCCTTAATATGGTTTCGTTCACACACAGTATGATTATTTTACGTGATTGACAACCGAATTTTATAGCCAAGCTCTCACCCATAAATTTTCAGGATTCACATTCACAACAGTATTGCCAGAAAGCGAACTGGAGAACTAATTGTCTGTCTACACAAATGCGTGTCTACCACGTGTTGCGGGTTTTCATGTGTGGTTTCGATAACAGCGATGGAGATATGAACTGTGTTTCATCTGAAGTTTTTAGATACATCACTGTTCTCCACCAGAGCTGCTCCAGTCAGTTTTGTGTTCTATGCACAAGCGGCATGACTCAAATTCAAATGCTCCACTCTCCACCCAGATATACTGTAAAACCTGCTGTCAGTTGATGAAGATTTGACAGATAAACTTGCGGCTCAATTGGTCTCTTGAAGTGTTAATGGTGTTAATGTAACGGAGGCCAGCTAGAGAGAGCTGTGCAGGTAAACCTCACTCACCGGGCCTCAAAAGGAGCACTAGCGACTGATCCTTGTTAGCGCGCCCACCTCCTATGCCAGAGAAGCAGGTTTGAATCCCACTCGGAGCGGGGCGAATAGGACCGGAGGGGTTACATTGGTGCCATTACATGGATGGAAGTGAAGTTTAAGGGGGTGAGTGTAATCTAAAGGCCAGCTAGCGAAAGCTGTGCAGATAAACCTCACTACCCTGGCTTCAAGAGTGACTAATGTGACTAGTGACTGATGCTCTTTTGCATCATTGTTTGCTGGCCCGCCTCCCATGCCAGGAACACAGGTTTGAATCCTACACGGAGCAGGGTGAGTAGCACCGGAGGGGTTATAACAAGACTTTCAGTTTTATGTACGTCACCATCTTTGATATTACTTTGGTTACTATGACTATGGCTACTGGTAAGGGAATATGGGCTTGACTCCCGTTGCACATTCATACAGACAGTATTCAAGACACTACTGTAAGTTGCAGTGAATGAGACTTATCGAGACTCACACTTGTAAGTAAATGCGGTTATCAATCCCAAAAAGTGACTGTGTAAACGCAGCCTTTATGATATGATACTAGTAGGATTGGCTGCGTTCACACTGTCATTCTTTGATACTGATAACTGCATTAATTTGTTTTCTTCGGTGACTAGACTAGACTAGAACATTAAATGTAACTCATAGCAAATGGTTTTAGAGATCATATGCTAATTAGCCATGTGCAGTAAATGCATATTGCAGTAGAAATATACAGTATTTTGCTATGTAAACTCAGTATTCTAGCTACATTGTTTGTAGATTAAAATATCCTTAGATGTATTTATTGATTTCAATGATATGTGTAACTCATATAATTATATTAATTTCATTTGTGCTTTCACCCCCATCTGCATATATGGTTATTAAGCTAAACATATCTGAACAAAGCATAAAGTATAAGCAAAATTATTTAAGAAAATTTGTCCAGTCAAATCTCCAATAGACTGGGTCATTGATCAAGAATCACGTTTTGAGTTATTTCATGTGCTCTCTCCACAAATGATTGAAGCCTTTTTTCATGTTTAAGCTGATTGAGGATAAGTATAACTTGACAGTCATATCGCTGCAGGATTTGAAAAGGGAGAATTCAAATATTCTACATAACTCCAATTAATGTAATTGGATATCTTTCTCTTGTGATTTTACAATTGAATTCAAATGTATACATTACTGTTATTATTGCTGAGTCTTGCACACTCTAACTACATTCATGCTTTGTTTGAGCTATGAAATAAACTCACCCCAAAGAAAAGACTGATTGACTTGCAGATGGTGCCGGTGGTCCCACAGAAATCGTTCTCTGTGACAAGGTGGAAGGTGGGAGTCTGATTCATATTGCAATTATCCTAAAGAGGTTACACACAATAACATGTCAGGCAGTGAAGAAGTTGACACAAAGGGGTAAATTTACTAAACAGTTGTGATAATTTTTGCAAGAAATATGTTTACTGCATTATTTGACTTTTTCATTTATCTTTTTTATCTACAAAAATAAGGCAATACTGTCTCAGAATGGATATTGATTTCTTCAGTTCAAAATAAGAACTAACAGTCTGTAATGTAATGAAGTACTGAACAACTTAGTAACTGTCCACCACTGAGGGACACAGAAAAGTAAAAACATACACTGGCTAAGATTTGTTCGGAGTCTCTGTGGAAGGAGTATCTCTTTCCATCAAAAGTCTTGAAATGACCTTCACCGTAGACAGTACAGGCTCCGTAGCATGGCTTTTTTGTGCAAGTCCACATCCCATTTGTGCATGTGCTGGAATATAGAACATACATTAACATGAATGACACGAAACTGTCAAAACACACCTGTTCAACATGCGTCTACATAGAAAAACAATGAAAAAGTAGAAAAAGTTCTGTGTAAACAGCCATCTGTTATTTTAAGGCGATGTAGTTGCATTGTACTTACTAAAGAGCTATGGTTAGGTTTAGGGTTAGTTACAGTAGGTGGACAACCAGAATGTCGTTTACCGCCGCGGCAAGTGCCGCGGTAAATCTACCGCGGCAAAAATAAACCAGCCGTATTTCAAAGTCTGTGGCGAAATGACCACCAGGTGGCGCAAAGGGACATTTAGCGAAAGCAAAACGTAATTATGTAAAAGTAGCCTACATTTTAAATAGAATATAGCTTTAACTAGAATAGAAACTTTTAGGCTATAGGAGAACAGTTTATTAATCAAAAGTTAAAATAGGCCTATCTCGCAGTCAGCGAAAATAAAGTGGTGCTTTCAATGACGCTATTGAGGAATGCGAAGACTGAAGAGCGCTTCTCTCGCGTGCGCACACTGACTGCTGAACAAACGAACTTCTGGGCTTTCGTCAGTGAGAAAAGTCGTGGTCGAGTGGTAGAACATTGGTACAATTGTTTTGATGACACTGTTTCGAATCCCGCATAAACATGTATTAAAATTACCTTGCATTTCTATTTTACATTAAGGAACAAATCTCTTCCAACAGATTGACTTAATTTACATCTTCAAAAGCAGTTATGATAAAAAAAATTCCATGTAGATAAAAAAAAAAAAAAACATAATCAAGCTAAGCAAGTTGCGATTTGCCGGTGGGGTATTCCCCCCTCCACAGTAATCAATGCTACAATTCGCCTAAATAGACAATATCAAATATGTGTATATATATTTTTAAATATGCAACACGCACGTTTAAACAACAAATAGCCTAATAAAATCTGAACCAGCGCTTCTGCGCCTGTATTGACAGATAACATGCAGCGCGCGTTTCAGTTTCAGTGGCCTTAATAGCCTATTGTTCGACAAACGCGGCGGTGGTGACTTGAATTTATTTATCGTTCATTAGACCGAACACATGGCTGAGTGGTAGAGCATAGGCCTACGCTTTTACCATTACAAACACATGGGTTCGAAGCTTGCTCAAACATGGATTACTATAGTTATATTTTATATTTAGGCTATTAATGCAGAAAGATTTGTTCTAAAACTCTGTTACACCATTTAGTTTTTTTGCTTATATTTATAAAATAAAATGACCATGCATTTCTATTTTAAACTAAGGAACAAATCTCTTCCAACAGATTGACTGAATTTACATCTTCAAAAGCAGTTATGCAAAAAAAAAATATAGAAAATAAAACTTAATGGGGTTCCATGTAGAATTTAAAAAAAACACCCCCCCTCCACAGTAATCAATGTTATAATTAGCCTAGACCATATCAAATATATTTATTTATTTATTTTTAAATATGCAACACGCATGTTTAAACAACAAATAATAAAATCTGAACCAGCGCTTCTGCTCCTGTATTTGAGAGATGTCAGTTTCAGTTTCAGTGGCCTTAATACATTGATTCACGGCTTTTTAAAATGTCACGAATTGTTTTGAGGTGGTTTTGAACGAAATATTGAAATATTGAAGTTTATAATTGAGTATTTTTTTTGACACACCACGCCCAGTGTAGGCCTAGGCTATTCTAAAATCAGGTTTTATTCTAGCATTAATTGTGTTCGACAAACGCGGCGGTGTTCACTTGAATTTATTTTTCTCACAATAGGAGCGGAGCGGCGTGACGCTTAAATATAAGTAAAAAAAAAAAAAAAAAACATAGGCTACGTTTCACATTTATGTTTAATAATATTATGTTACTTATTTTTATTATTTCGTCTATGTTGAGGCTAGCCTATATAAAAAGTGAACCGCATGAGATGAGTAAGATAGGATCAAAAGCTACCCAATATATCGGAAAATATTTGAGTGGGTCAGACATGATTTTGACCACCAATTAAGTTTTGTTTTGTAGAAAGCTTGTAAATTTCGTTTCGGATAAATTCTATCTTCATTGTAATAAATGTTTCATCAACAAATTGACTGGATTAACACATTAGAAGTAAATATCGGACAATATAATCAGGACACAGAGGCGCGCATGAACTAGAAAGCTTTAAATGTCTACTTTTAAACAAAACATTTAAAAACGAAAATAAATTGGCAACTCTCTGCGTAAGTAGGCTAATTCGAATGCGTTTAGGCCTATGCGCGTTCACTGTGAAGGCGAGTCAGCATCATCAACTTTATCTTTGCTGCTGACAGACAGATAACACTAGTTTAGTTTAGAGCAGCATGTTTGCAACAATAACACAATCAAACAGAATGTAAGCCCTGTGTGTGTGCATGTGCAGTTGTGTGTGTGCGTCACACGTTAAATGTTAGAATGTAACACAACATTCAAATGCAAATATGCGCCCTCCCCCACTTGAAAGCCCGTGTGTCCACCAAAGTGTTTTTCCACACGCCTGGCGTGTTTTCAATTGTTTTCAATGGGAGCGCCGCGTTTTTTTAAACGCCATGAGCGTAATCAAAGCAGCTCCTGAGATTAAGCTGGCGTTTTTAGTATGTCCTTTTTTTCTTTGAACAATTCAAGAACAATATAGGCTACAAATTGAACATGGTTTATTTTTTGTAAAACTTTAAAACTGGCCTTTACTTTTCTTGACGATTCCTCGGTAGCTTTTGTTTGAAGGCATTCAGTTGCTCCAAAAACACTAACGTTAGAAACATAACTGCACTTTATCACAACGGATTAATAAACCGTACCCACGAGTTCCTAATCCGTGCTCTCAGATTTGTAAACCGTGCCCTCAGTTTTTGCAATCTGTACCCACAAATTCATAAACCGTGCCCACGCTTTCGCAATCCGTATGGGTTTGTAATCCGGACTCACGGGTTTGTGGCTCGTCCCCCAGAGTGTGCCGCATGATTCAACTAGGCCTCCTGTTTAGATGCGGGATGCATTGCATTGTTTTTAAAATCCTTTTTTAAAATGGATAATTTCTTGCATTTAAAAAAATAAATACATTTAGGATACTTTTATCTTTAAAGTAAATTTTTAGAGGAAAAAGCTCAGTACTATAATAAGCGAAAATAATAATAATAATAATAACACAGTTCAAAAACTGTAAAAGGTTTGGTTATAAGTTATAAATTATTTTATGTTAAATATATTACTGTCGTGAACTCATTCATAGTAGTAATGCAAATAAAAATGCATTTAGGCTACAGGCCTATTTAGAAGACGCTTTTATCCACAAAAAAGAACAAAGCAATTCGTCAAATGTCAGTCTTAGACAATAATAATAGGCTACGATTCTAACAAACAAACACAGGTTTTAACGTATATCCAACTGTTTGTGTGCATGTCACTGCCGCGGCCGCAAACACTTGCATGTTCCTATCAACAGTGGAACAATTTAAAATAATCTAGCATTTCTGGTCATACGGAAAAAAAAATACATAATACATAATACATTATTTGCAACTACTTTTATTTGTGTAAACTCACAATAACAAGAAAACGTCGATCGTTATTTTTCAGACACAAGCCTATAAATCACCTATAAATCATCTCTCACATGCTCTTCTCATTTAGCACTGCGGGCAAAATATAGTTTTTAGAAAGCAAAATCTATTTTTTTTTTTTCATATTAATTTGCGAATATTTTAAATGTTTAATAAAGGCAAAAAGTCAGCCTATTCGTCAAAATCTTGTGTTTAGGCCTATTTGTGATAATCTCAGCCCTGTTTTATTATTGTATAACCAGTAGGCCTATTATGATTTGACGAATTGCTTTGTTTCTTTTTTTTTTTTATAAAAGCGTCTTATATCTAAATATGTAGCCTAAATGTAATAATAATAGCATATTATTATTAGGCCTATTATTTGCGTTTATAACTTTAAATGAGTTCACTTAAGACAGGAGAATATGTAAAACAATTTGTGAATGTTTTATTTTTATAGACCTATAACTTTGTGTTTGTCTTAGGCTATATTTATTTATTTATTTTTTTGTAAGTGAAGTCCTTTTAAAAACAATGCATCCCGCATCTAAACAGGAGGCCTGGTTGAATCATGCGGCACATTCTCGGGGACGAGCCACAAATCCGCGAGTCCGGATTACACAACCGTAAGTAGCCTACGGATTGCGAAAGTGTGGGCACGGTTTATGAATTTGTGGGTACATATTTCTAAAACTGAGGGCACGGTTTACAAATCTGAGAGCAGGGATTAGGAACTCGTGGCTACGGTTTATTAATCCGTGGGCACGAATTGTTAAACCGAGGGAACAGTTTAAGAATCCGTGAGTAGCCTACAGTTTATAAATTAAGGGAACGGATTGCAAAAGCTATACCTATTTAAGCTTCAAGAACGGTAGGATAAACATAAAAGCTGTCGGCCAAGAGCATGTAACAAGGTTCGATCTTGCGTCGTTTGGAGGTATATGAGGTTGAGGATGATGCGTTAACCACACAGCTATCGCTGGACTTCTAATGCGCTGTCGTCTTATACAATTGTAAAGCCTCATTGATGTAGCCTAATATGTTTTGACTGCAATGTTTTAAGGTTTCCTTATTTTTTCAATTTAATTTCAGTATTGTGATTAATTAATTAATTTAACTACGTTTCACTTGAATTAATCTGTTACCATCTTTCAATCGCTCTGAAAGAGCCGCGGTGCAGTTGAAGATTACACAAAAAACGGACACTTTTCAAAGTCTGTGATTGTTGCGCCTCTTAGCGGCCAAAGGCAGCAACTACACCTCAACTTTTACCGCCGCGGCAAACCGGCGGCGGTAAAAACCACATTCTGGTTGTCTACCTACTGTACTTGTAATTATTCATATTTACTGTTATTATCATAGTAAGTATATGTAGGGATGTGTAACTACGTCACCTTAAAATAAAGGGTTACCTTTTTTCCTGAGGCTAGCATATTTTTTCAATTGTTTTCAATAGTATTATTACTACATATACGCTTAGGACGGCACATGTGAATTGATTGGTTTTTCGCAGCCTGAAATAATAATTCACATTTTTAATGTTATTTCAGCATATGAAACAACATTCATGGGACAAGTCGTGTCACATTTTGTTGCTGATTTTGAATTTTGTCATTTTACTGCAAGTGTTAGAAGCAATTTTTGAGATTTCAGGATTTCCCTCATATTCAAATAGACAGGACATGGTCTTGGATGCTGAAACAGCTGCCCAGAATATTTGCCTCCTTTCCTTGAAAGGGACTAATAATATGGACAAAGGCATAGCTATTGCTATAGCCGAATAAAAACGAAGATAGAAATGCTTTGACTCATGTAAAAACATAAACGCTCTATACAATAAAAGTCTATTGACAATGCAATGCTAATCAACATAGCATTTATTACAGTACAGAATACTATAAAATAATATATTTTCAACCTCATTCTATAAGAAGCAACATCAGATCACAAAAGGAAGTAAGTTTCGAGTAAAATATTACTATATTAAACATATATTTTGTTGGACAACCGGTTTATGAATACTTCTTGTTACAAAATTGGGAAGATGTCTGACACGTGTTGCTTTTTTGAAGTACACCTTGTAAGCAGATTAAATTCACAGCTCTTGTAGAGATGGCAGCATTTACTGTGAACCGATTGAGCCGCTCGTACTATTGATGAATTTGGAAAGATATGGTATAAGGGAGGCTTATTCATGGTTAAAGGAGTAGTTCACTTAAAAATTAAAATTAGCCCATGATCGTAAAATGGTAAATGGACTGCATTTATATACAGTAGCGCTTTCATAGACCCAATGGCCACCAAAGCGCTTTACAATTTACCTCACATTCACCCATTCATACACCGACGGCGGTGTCAGCCATGCAAGGCGCCATCCAGCTCGTCGGGAGCAGCTGGGGTTAGGTGTCTTGCTCAAGGACACCTCGACACTTGGTCAGGTGGAACCGGGGATTGAACCACCAACCTTTCAGTTTGTAGACAACCTACATGAACCACTGAGCCACTGCTGCATATTTAGGCTACGCCATGCAGAGGTGGACAAAGTACACAACTTCCTTACTTGAGTGAAAGTACAGATACTTCTGGTCAAATATTACTATTAGTATGATAGTGTAACTGTTAGAGCAAGTGAAACAACGCTGCATTACTTCAAGTTTAATTAGTCTAATAAAATACCTGTGTGAGTATTAATTCAGCACTTGCGTGTAGTTCGGTAGAATGAAATGTCCTTATTCCTTTATATCCGCAGGACTAGCGTTTCGTGTGGCGCTGGTAACGTAAGTTTTACATCTAGCAATCGCGCCCTGCTTCATGCCACAGTCATGTTAAAAACATCAATGCATAAAAACAAAAACATCAACTCATCCATAAAAGATCTATCAGATTGACGACAAGATCCATATGCAGAAAATACATCGTTAATATACGCCTTTGTTATTGTAAGAGGTTAGCGACCCCTGATGGCAAAAATTTCTACATATTGTACCTTTAAGAAAGTGAGAAAAAAAAAAGTTTATAAAAATCAGGCAATAAATAAATGTGATTAAATTTTAAAGGAATATTCAAAGAAACTGTATTAAAATGTGTTGTTTTTTGCAATGTATAAGGGTCTCAAGACAATTGTCTAAAGTAACTGTTTAGATTTTAAAGATGCAATCTCTTTTACAGAATACAGAAGTTTGTTGCACAGAACCCACATTTGGAAGGACAGTCTCATCGACTCAAGCCCCCAAAGGACCCAATCTACACATGCTTGGTGTCTGATCCACAAACGAGAAGTGAACTGTCTGTCTTGACTGCACTTATTTCACTCTTCCAGCCATCTACTCTCAACTACTTTCAAGGCGAGGCGAGTTGGATCTCAAACAATCCCTAGTGTTTGACTAAATCACATCTTTTGACGTTGACACGATGCAGATTTTAAAATGGCAAGATTATTTCAATTAAATTCATTATATTCAACATTCATCTATGTTACAAACATCTTAGAAAATGAAGTTCAGTGTTTCATAACCCTTTAATATAAGTTAACACTATAAAAAAAATGGGTTATCTAAATGATTATTGGGTGTCTGGCTCACCAGTTGTTACAGTCCTGCTGAACTTGGCCCCCAGGAGAATAGGAGATTCCATTGTGGGTACAACTACATTTTTCCCTCTCCACACACCCACCATTGCCATCAGCCAGAAGGCCGTCTGGACACATACAATCTGATTCACACCCTGTGCTCACCTATTGACAAGATAAACCAAGAAGGACCAGGATTAGTACGACATCATGTAAGATTTATTATTTCATGTTATCAATGCACTATAAAAATCCTTTACATAATTTACATATTTTTATATATATATAATTATTTTCATCCTGTTATTCATTTATTCTCATCCATCCATTCTAACTCACACAATTGTTGGGGTTTTGTTTCTCACATGTCCTCTGACACTCCGCTCCTTTCTGCCCTTGTTTATAATTTGAGCAGTTGAAGAAAACCATTGGAGCCACACAGTCTAAAACAACAGGCACATGAATGAGGAGCAGAAAACTTGCACACATCATACCAGTGTTGCTGTATCTCAGTGACATCTCAAGATTTTAATCTGGCAGGTGGTACGGCAGAAGAGGTGTTTGTGACTCACCTTTTATGGAGCAGTCTAATTTGCCATGGTTGCAGATGCTGTAATATGAAAAAACCATCAAGATCCATCAAGAGTTACTAATACTATACATTTATCAATAAAGAATTGTGGTAATAGTGTATGTTGAACTTCTATTTTTACCATTTAACACCATTATTGAAGATTATTCCTGATGGCTCTATGACCTTGTCACCTTTGTAACAAGGACACTGGTCAGCATGTACACAGCTGCCGGCTTCATTGAAGTATCTTCCCTCAGGACAGACACAGCCATCTACAGGTGTGAAGGACCCTTGGCAGGTGTTATCGTGAACACTGAGAGAGCGGCAGGTGCTTCCACAGCTTTTCACGCTGTAGGAGTACTTCATGTTTTCTGGACACTTCAAAATTGTGTCTATGGAGCAAGAGACACACAGAGGCTAATTTGAAACAGTGTACACTTATAAATAGTTGTTTGAATATGTACTTTTATAAATTTCTCACCACAGGGGTCTGAATCCATCCAGCCCTGGAGAATGACTCCTTTGGCAGCACATGCGTGGGCATACGTGGACAAGGCCGCACACATACACTTTTTAACATCTGCACACTTGCAGGTGTCATAGACGCACCACTGCAGAGGATGAAACCCCAATTAAAAAGAGGACTCTTTAAATTTGTATATCATCTTTCATGTACCATATCATTTTGTGTAAAAAGACTCACTTGGTAGTAAATCTCAGGACATATTTCTGAATGACATGGTGAAAACACTCCATTTGGGTTTGTGAGACGGGAACACCAGTCTTTAGCTATTTTCTCTAAATAAAATAAAAAATCTCTAGATTTTAACCCTGACAATAATGAATCGGTCATTACTCTCTACTATCCCAAATAAAACAAATAAAAAATAATCAGGCTGGAAATCTTTTGCATATACACAACACAGCCTTTATCCTTTAGATTATTCTTATATTTCCTTAAATTCCTGTTATCAGTTCAAGTTGTATTAACGTTTATAAAACTGAGTACCTGTCTCCGAATGCATGCTACATGGGTTGTCAAATGTGTTTTCAAGATTTCCACAGTATTTGTTTTTCTTCCATAAGTTGACAAATGGTGTTGATGTGTCCTCTGGCATACCCAATTCGGTTATAAAGTCATCTTTTTGGATGTCATTATAGTTCCCACACAGACCTGAAAACAGCAAGGTGTGGAATTAAAGGAGGTTAAAGAGACTCAGGGCCCTATTTTAACGATCTGAATATTTGAATGATCTTTATTGATAAGTATCAAGCGCGAAGCGCAAGTGACTTTGTAAAAGGGGTTTAAAAGTTCTGAAGTAGCCTCATTATTTATAGGTGTGGTTTGGGCGTAACGTGAAATAAACCAATCAGAGCACCATCCAACATACCCTTTAAGAACAGGTGCGCAAGCTGCATGACGGATTGCTATTATAACGGCGGGTTACCAGGCGCGCGCCAGGAGCGTTCACAGCCGATGAGACCGACGTTCTTGTCAGGACAGTGAAAGACAGAGAAGTGACGTTGTATGGGGATGGGAGAAACCCTCGCACATCAGCGTCGGTTAAACATTATATACACTATATATATATGGTTTATATGGTTTCTTGCCACTATTGGGCAAACAGGTCTGATCCTTCAGTACTACAATTAGCCTTAAAAAAAATTGGGTAATTAGGTTTTTCTTCTTCATGTAAACCACAATGATTTCCCTCATGAGTTAATATTTTTTCCTTATTATAATGAATGATTTGCAAAAATAAAACTGCTGCATCTGTGTTTATGAGAGAATCAAAGTGTATGCGTGTTGTGCACATGCTACATTATGGCCAAGCATGCACGCTTAAAATAGCATTATGAACAACGCGCCACTGACTTTAGACCAGGTTTTTTTCTGGTCAGTGGCGCAAATGTTTTCTGGAACTGCAAAATTGCACTAGGGAGTGTTTGCGCCGAAACATGCCTTTTTTTTTTTGCGCCGATCCACCTAGGGAGCGCAAATTCATTCCCTAGTTTACCGACGTGGGTCTTTGGAGGAAAAAAGCCCGCTTTGCGCGGGTGCAAAATAGGAATGATACATGCGTCAGTTTTGCGCCGGGTGCAAGATAGGGCCCATAATCCTAAAATATCATAGACAGTAAAAGAAATGGACACAGTGACCCCATAGATTTCAACAGAGAAAACTGAAGCCCTTTAGAAGCACTCACTTCCTGATGGCTGAGCGTACTGCGCATGCTCAAACTGAGCTTGACGACGGAGATGTGACGTGAGCAACCTAGTAGCTGCGCCAGCCGAATTCTGAATCATTCCCTTCATGATTTTGCAGAGACAGAGGGCGTGAGTAGGAGCTGTGCATGAGCTCGCAACAGGAGCAACTTTATGTCTCCACGTCCCCCGATTACCCGCAAGCTTCTCATCCTGTCTATACGGTAATTTCTCTAGTGTGTGCCAGAGAGTCGCATGGTTATGACGGAATCGTTAGCCTATATTTACAAAAAAACGGCTTCTAAATAGACCATAACGTAAGATACAAAGTAATGGGGCCTTTTATACATTGTCGTGTTTCTTTAGAAAAAACTAATGGACAAATGGAGTCTTTGGCTGTCTCTGATGTAAAGTTATTCGCTGTCAAAGTGATGCCAAAATGAATGGGAGTCAATGGAATGCCTACAGCAGATGATGGTCAGCTACAATGGTGGCGCCCAAAGGGGCTTCAGTTTCCGGTTGATGGATTACCCCCTTGCTGCAAGCAGCCATTACCGGGGCCAAGCGCAAAGAAAGACGACAAGACATGCCAACATGGCTGGGAGTGTCAGACCAACTGCATGAAGGAGAAATTAAAGACATTTAAAGATGAATTTAGGCAAAATGGCTAAAAAAATCATATAATCATATAACTAAAAATATGATTTAATGGATTATCACTTCCGACTAATAGATGGTGCAGTTACGAAATCGATGTGATGTGGTCCGAGTGAGGTGACAATGACACATACAAAGTTTGGTGTCAAATTGTCAAGGCATTGCAGAGATAAGCCTGATTAGTCATTTTTGCAGCATGCCTCAAATTTGCTGCTGCGGGCTGTTTCGTCTAACGTCACGAAATCTATAACTTTTAGTCGGCACGGTCTGGAAATGATACGATTTGATTTTGGTGAAAATCGGATAAATGGTGTAGGAGTTCGAAAAATAAGTTTTTAAAAGAAAATAAAGATGGCGGACAGGAAGTTTGGCTTTTTCGGAGAATTCAAAATGGCAGACAAATTTTCATGACAGAAAATGAGGACAAATGCAATCGAATTGGCTTGAACTAAGGAATCAGTGGAAAAAAAATATTTTGTTTCTAGCCCTTATGATTCCAAAGTTATTAGCATAAACATGAGTAGAACTTTAGACAGATGGTGGCGCTAGAGGAATTGGTTTTGAGACGCCAAATTTGCTATGGTGACAGTTTGGACTGACCAGTTTGGCCAAATTTCACAACTTTCCCGCAAGCAGTTCTATGGGCTGCCTGCCATAGACACCCAGTAGGAAGAAGAAAAATAATAATAGGAACGTCAACAGATACAATAGGTTCCTCCGCCCCTAAATATACGTATTAACTGTGTCTATTTGATACATGTTGTTTAACAAGTCCTTTCTTAAAGGTGCCGTCTGTAAGAATGTCAGTTAGTGGTCGAAATAGGTACTGCAGTCCAAATTCAAAAGATCAAGATCGTTGTTTACCCCGCCCCCTCCTCCTCAGACTCGCCGCTCACGTAGGTTGCCATTTTGAGGACATGCAACAGGAACAAGCGCAATTGACAACGAAAGCCGAGGAGACTTACAGACAGTTAAAGATTAGTTAAACGGATACTCCACCAAAAAATGAAAATTCTGTCATCATTTACTCACCCTCAAGTTGTTGCAAACCTGTATGAGTTTCTTTCTTCTGCTGAACACAAAGGAAGATATTTTGAAGAACAATTGGAACCAAACAGTTGTTAAGCAGAAGAAAGGAACTTTGCAACAACTTGAGGGTGAGTAAATGATGACAGAATTTTCATTTTTGGGTGGAGTATCCTTTTAATGAGTTGATTTATCCGGGGGTTTTGGGTTGTGAGGAATCTGCAATCTTTGACCCAGTTTGTTTGCTAGTTTCCAAGGCTGCAATATGCTGTTTTTCCTGCCAGCTGGCATCTCAGGTTACCGAAATACTATTGGATGAACTGGCAGTGGGTGAGATCACACGGACCAAAACAAAAAACCGACTGATAATATGGAACGTGTAAAATAATAGGTAAAACAACTGGCTGTGTAAGTGTTTTTTAGAGAAACAGGTATGTGAACTTAGCATGTTACCTAAATATCTGAAAATATATGTGTTCATATTATGTTTGTTTTTTTTGTTTTTTTGCTTTAGTAGAGTAAAAACATTACATAAAACACCTTTAAAATATGGGTGTAGTGGGTGGGGTCATTACAAGCAAAATGACTAAATGATTTGCTGTCTCCTTTACTAACCACTCATTTTTCCTTTCTCCTTAGTGCTGGCTACAATATACAACTGCATGACTGGAGCCAACTGGATCTCTAGACGAAGACTCTTCATATCAGCAATAATGAAGGAGGAAGAGGGCTGGAAGATGCTCACAGGACCTGGGACAACAAAGTGTGAGGTTAAGATACAAAACAGAACATCTAGGCAACAGTGCCTTTTGTTAATGTTAATATACTTACATGATTTATACAATTGTAAAAGAAAAAAACATGAAAAAAGGCAATTAATTATGTTTAATTTTTAATGTCAAATGCTTATAATAGAACAATTATCCATTTTGGACAACACACCTCCGGTAACAGGAAGCTTAAATGGGCTGTTTCCATTCAGTGTCACAACTCCAGTGGAGGAAAAACTAAACTAATATGCAAAACAACAAAAAACAAAATATTTAATGTAATTGCATCTTAAACAACAATTATGCAGGTTTGTTTTTTGTGTGCCATTCTGAGCAAAGACAATATTCACTGCTTTGAATAGTTGTTTTAAATTTTGAATGAAGAAATAATGCAACAGTCATTAAAAAAAGGTAAAATAAACCTTGTACTTACAGTGGTCCCCGAGATGACAAGGGTCACTGAATTTAGACATGTGTCTGTTCGGGCCGGATCACACTTTTCCAGATTTCCCACAACAGCAATATCACTGTCATCAGAGTGCTAGGATAAAAAAGGACTGTAAGAACCTCCAAATTATATTGTGTGTATTGTTTTCAGGGGCATAACGTCCCCACTTTCCTGATTCTTATATACTAAACCATATGAATAAAAGTACAGGGGAAGACTTTCATTGATCTCGCCCTGACAGAAAATATCTGTGGATCATCTGATATCCTGACAGACCTTAGTGAGGATGTAGTCACAGTTCCCGCTGAAGGTGAAGCTCTTTCCATCATAAGTGGTGAGGTGAGACCCTCCCACAACAGAGCAGATTCCGGGACATTCCAGGTGTTTACAGGTCCAGTGTCCCGCGTCACACACACTGACAAATACCACAGCAGTGTTAGCATGGGGAAATGTATGAAGGAATTTAATTGTGACTTAAACATTTAAATTAAAGTTTACCATTCCTGACAAGCTTGTTGATAAGACTCTCCTGATCGATATAGTGTGCCATTGTGATCACATGGGCACTGGTTCACAGGAACACATCCACTCTGACCAATGTCGTCTTCAACGGTGCCTTTACAAAAAGAAAGCATGACAATTGAGCAAGTATTTCCTTGGGCGTCAAAAGTATTTTTTGAGACCAGATGAGTTAAAGGGTTAGTTCACCCAAAAATGAAAATTCGGTCAGTATTTACTCACCCTCATGTTGTTCCAAACCTCTATGTATTTATTTGTTCTGCTGAACACAAAGGAAGATATTTGGAAGAATTGACTACCATGGGGAATAAGATCTGTTTGATTAAAACATTCTTCCAAATATCTTCCTTTGTGTTCAGCAGAACAAATAAACACATAGAGGTTTGAAACAACATGAGGGTGAGTAAATACTGACAGAATTTTCATTTTTTGGGTGAACTAACCCTTTAATTTAGAGTCTTGTACATGCTGGCATTTATTGATTACACTACCGTTCAAAAGTCTGGGGTCAGTAAGAAAAATAAATGTGTACTTTTATTAAACAAGGATGTATTAAATTAAGAAAAATGACAGTAAAGACATTTATAATGTTACCATATATTTCTATTCCAAATAAATGTTGTTCTTTTTATTTTTATATAAATATAAAATATGATATTTATCGAAGAATACAATAAAAGTAATTGTAACAATTGCATTTTAAAATATTACTATTTTACTGTTTTTTAATTTTTTTTAAAAGCAGCCTTGGTGAGCATAAGAAACTTCTTCAAAAACATTTAAAAATTTTACTGACCCAAACCTTTTAAATAGAAGAATATTTGAAACAAAATCATCAAATAAAAAATTTAATTATAAATTGTACCTTCAGGGCAGAAACAGCCGTCCACACAGTGTTCGTTACACATTAGACTTGTGTTTGGATCTTTGCAGGTGTTCTTACACGGACTTCCACACTCCAAGTATTGCATGTTTAGAGGACATGTCTTTGCTGCTCCACAGAAGAACATATAAAAGCATAACAAAATTGTTCCTCAAGATAATTCATTTGTTTTTTTGTTTTATTTTAGGATATTTTGAGTGTCTTCTTCAAAAGCTTAATTTATTTATAATAAATAAATAAAATAATTACATTCTTGGGTGAACTGTTCCCTTAAGTTAAATTTTTCTCTCCATCATAACTAATGTCATGTTCCAGAACTGATACTCACGGCAGAGCTGGTCTGTCCTCCATGTTCCTGGATTTCCTCCAGCATGTGTGCACTGTCGTGAAATCTCCGTGAGTGTGTTGCAGAGACAGTCGTGATTGCCGTAACATTGACACAGGTCGTTCACACAGGCCTCTTCAAATGAACCCATGTTCATCACATTGTAACAGTCGCTAAACCCTGGACTGCTGAGATACTGCTGGCAAACACTTGTCTGGGACAATCAGAAAACACTTATAATTTAAAATAACATTCTCTTTTTTTTCTTATACACTTAGATATATATCAGTTAATATTAGTACATATTTTCCAATCAGTAATTGATAAACAATTAAAAAATAAGTATTCATTGTTTGCACTTTAAGTAATTAAATTCAGGCACACCTCCAAAATCTGTTAAAATAATAGCAACAACTTTAGTTTTGTATCACATTACCTGGTTTGTGCATTGATCCTTAGGGTGGATTATGATGCCATCACAAGATTCAGATTGATCCACTTTCCATTTGTCCACATTAAAACCTATAAAAATTAAATGTTTGGATGTCATATATTAAAATATGATTCGTTTTGATTACTTTTGATTTAATCAAAGTTAAGTTTTACCCTTCTCAACTGAATCATCATCCTGGTTGCCATTGTTTCGACAGAGTCCACAGGTCTTGCCTAGATACTTTTCTGAAAGTTCAATCTAGGGAACATCATATTGTAAAATATATGATTATTGGATGGTCAGGCCTTATTTGCCTATGTCACAAATATAGGTAACACTTAAATTTCCATTGTCCACTTTAGACATTACTATAGGTAACTTTAAGAATGACCCCCAGCATATATGCCACTGACTATATAAGTAACTTTTCAAGGACATTCTATTAAACCTAACCCTAATTATAAACTTAAACAAAACAAAAAAAAAACAGATATAAGACAGTAGCTGTATACTGTATATGAACAGAGAAAAAGTATACCAATAAAGATTGGTCCTTCTCCCAAAAGACAGTCACTCCTTGTTTGTTAGAGATCTTAACACTTGATGGGCTCAGCTGGACTGTTATTCCATTCATATAGGTTGAATTAAACAACCTGTTAGAGAAAGAAAAAAATCATCATTCAACATAAGAAAGCAATATTTGTTTTTAGAGTTTAGACTACAAGACATCTGGATGCAGTATTAAATTTAGATTAAAAAAAGACTCACTCTTCGTTGTCCATGGTGATCTTGTTGTTAGTAAGTTCAATGACTGTGCCCTGCAGATGTACTTTGATTTTGTTGAAGGTGATTGAGTTATTTACAATCTCTCTTTTCATCTTAATGTTAAAATCAGAACTATCCAGGCTGTCACACATCACCGCCAGAATGTAGTAGCACGTGTCTGGCACTTGAAAGAAATGACCATCAAATGTCTTGAAGTGGAAATTTCCCCATGTGCTGCAGATCGTGGACTGATGATCAGGATTTGGGTGTTCTAAATCAAGAGAGAAAGTTTTAAAAATGTGTGATCTATACTGAATCCTAAACTGACGCTGAAAAGGCAGTTTCAGTTAAACAATTTTTTTGGTTGCATACCTCCAGTTGTGATTCTCAAGTCAGGGAACACTAAAAATAGAAGACAAACAGAAAAGTTTATTATTTATGCCTTTAGATTATATTTTTCTTTTTCATTGAATGCTGATGATACCCATCTCTATTTGCCTTCAAAGCCTAATTCAACACTACCTTCTTCTTCTCTTTTGGTTTGTGTATTAAAACTAAATCATTATTTACATGTAATTATTTTGTAAACAATTTCTTAAGTTTAACAGTGAGACAACTGGGATTAAACTAGTAGGCACTAAATCAAAATTGAAAAATTGTGAAAATATTACACTGACTTGACAACTCTGTTGTTTCTCCTTCCCTTCAGGTTAAGAGTCCCAATGCCTCAGATCTTTTAATTCTTAATTCTTAGATCACATCTTAAAACCCATCTTTTTTATTATTATTATTATTATTTTGTTTTATTATTATCATTTATACACTAAATCAAATACTTATTTGTAGAATTGAGTAATAGTTAATCAAATTAACATTCTAATTAATTCTAATTTGTACAATTTAATTAATAATATTGCTTGTAATATGTTGCCACAATTTTATTGATTAGATAAAGCACAAACAAATACTAATATTTGTTTAATGTTTTTTCAACTTCTTATAAATAAATAATGATCTCCCTTGATCGCTGAAAATAATGCATTCATTTCCCCTACAAATACTTCATTGAAAATTTACATGAAAATTCTCCTAATTAAATTCCCTATATTAAATTACAAACATAAAATGAAATATTTACCAGTTACTGTTCCGTCCATTACAGGATCTAGTGTAGCATGCAGATAATCCATCATAGTTGAATCTTTAAACATAAAAAGACAGAAACATACAGTATTTACAACAATATTGTGCATTGTAAAATGAGAACAAAAAAAAAATAAAAATATTCAGCTCACCTGCTTGTATCGTCTGCAACCCCACCAGTAAAACGACCCATCGGAGCATCCACATCTGGGACATTTTTACAGTTCCCATGTAGAAAACAACCATGCTCAAGAGCTAATGTGAGGCATCGGTTAGAACTTTTCCTTTTATAGTGAATTTTATCTTTCCTTGGAAGAATGTCATTTGTGAACAGAAGGTGGAACCCATCTTATGCATTACCATGGGATCTTTTAGCCAAATAAATGCCCTATAGCTGTTTTGAGAATCAACATCATTCATGCAAATATTGATGGTGAGAATAATTGTGTCACTGACAAAACCGCATTCATCTCCATCATATCAAACTAAACAAGGATGTGAGGGATGTAACTGTTTTCTAAAGAACTATTAAGTCTTTTACATTTACATCATGTAACATAAAAAAATTAAATGGTTTAATTTGTTTAGCAAATGTAATTCCTTCAGTTATTTTCATGCTTAATTATGCCTGTTAAAATTTAGCCTCTGTTATTTTCACTCTTCATTCTATTGCTATATACACAGGGCATATTTAGAGCAGTTTCAGCAGGGCTCAATGCTAAGGATTTTTTTTACTGGCCAGGTTGGGTCTCTGGTTCAAGTGTTTAGATACCAGTGAAATATCACAATTCTCTATTACAATTTTGATATTGATACTACAGCAAAAACTACTAGCCTAATTAATGTAAAAAAAAGAAAGAAATTGAAAGACAAGTAAACGGTCAGTAATAAAATTAGAACAAATAATCCAATTACAAATAACTAGTTTCAGGTTTGAATAAAGTAATCAAATGTAAAATGAAATGAAATAGTCAAATCTTTATTTAAGTTATACAAAAGTCTTAAGTCAAGAGCACTGTTGTTTGAATAACACTAAGAACATAGCAGTGGGTTTATCAAGCCGCTGTCCTGTTAAGACCGAACACATGGATCAAATATACTCTTACATATGCATTTTGTCAACTGTTTACATTCACTTAAGACATCACCAACTATGTTTGTATTCTCGCAAAGAAGGGAGTTTTTACATCATTTTGTGTGAATTTGTCAATTCAATTGCAAGAAGATGTGAAAGAGAATTCAATGCAGTATTCATGCTCTGGGTGTCAGGTGTGTGATAGAAGGAACAGGGACTCAATCGCAGAAGAAATAATGGGCTTTATTAATAAAAATAAAAACACAAACAAAAACTACCCAGTGGGGGTAAACAAGACAGCAAGACTTGGGAAAAATGATCTACCTGGGGCCTGTACCGTGATGTTGAACAAACTCAGGGTTGCATGACTAGCTTCGAGTTAACCAAACCAAACCAATCCAACCAGGCTTTGTTGGTACCATCATGCTGATCATCAACTTTCTTTGTCAATTCAGACTTTAATCTTGAGTTTAGGAGTTTAGGTGTGACATAAGTAGCAAACAGCCAATCACATGCTGAGAAAGAGTGAAACTCATTTAAAACTCATTGAAATTAATTTCTCGCAAGAGAAGTAGCGCAATTCACTTATTAATTAAAAGTATTAAACTATTAAGAATTTAAACAAATTTACACGGCAAGAAAATAGCCGTCTATGAAAGAGGACAACTAAAAAAAAGTCTCATTACTCTATATCAGTGCAAGTAAAAGTTGTGAAGTTAGTTTAAACAGTTAATAAAGGTATAGAGAAAATTTTGAACATTTAAGCTCACATGTCCTTTTATAGCTTAATTTATTGATTCTAAAGTGTATATTACCTTTATATATAATACGCATTCATTTAAAATCTGAGTGATCATAATTGATGAACTGAAATTGTACATGTGAGATCATTTAAGGGTATAATAATTACAGAAACAATTTCTAAATCATACAAATTTATTTACTAAAAGCCATGATTTTGTCTTTTAAAATCATTTGCTGTGTAGTGACCTTTAATTTGGAGTGGAAACAGGTGGAGTGACTTTATCACGTCAGACATGTGTCACTTTGCTCACAGCTGGTTAGCCGTGGAGCGTAAGTTACTATGGCGATGAACACTGCTAAAAGCCAAACCACTTTCATGGTACCTAAAACCCAGGGTTGGCACAAACTGAACTGAAACATAGCTGGCTAGCCACCTAAACTGGCTTCATGGTATAGGCCCCTGGACACAAGGGGTCAATTCGACTACGATCCAGCACAGCACTGCAAACACTGGGAGAATAACTAGGGAGAGCAGGGGCCCGTTTCAATAAGGAGGTTCAACCAACTCTAGAACATGACATGAAAGCACACAGCACGGCCAGTGGAAAACACAAGCTGCGTGCTACACAGTACAAGACAAAACACACGTCATGAAAGCACGCGTCCGATGTAAATAAACACTAACCGCGTAATACACAGTGACAGAACACAATACTCACAGACAGAAGGGCATATACTTTCTGAGCGAACTTGAAACCCCATGCTCACACGAGAACATCCTGTGCGCACATAACAGAATACAAACACGTGGAGCATGAATGTCCGAAACCTGTCACAGAACCAATGCCAAACTAGATCGAAGTGCCGGGATATTCATGGCCACTCCATGGTTTTTTGACCACTGATAGAATATGATTTCTGATTTAAATGTTGATTTACTGTTTCTTATTTATGCAATGCTTTGCTATTGAATTGTTTAATCTACTGTAAGATCTATATCTTGTTTCATACACATGTTCCTTGCTTTTTTTTTACATTGCGAGCAAAGAAACAATGTTTGTTATTATCAACGCACATGCCAATTACAAATATTACATTAAATGTAGGCTATTTACACAGACAGTGTGATAGTATTAAACAGACCTACCTCCCAAAAGACAACCTGTTCATGTTTGTTAGAGATCGAAATATTTGACAGAATTCCAGACTTGCAGGATGCATTACTATTAAAATCCTGTAGGCTATTATCCTGTAGGTAGGCTGTAGGCTATTGCAAATAAATATTTTTTCCATGTAATTTGGAAATTTAGTCTTCAATCTACTGCTAAAGATTGGTAGGAATTCTGATGTTCTCCCACAGTGAACATTTTTAATTACAGGATACAAAGTCAAAATGCCGACAAATAATATTCAGGGGCGCAACTACCCAGTGTCAGAGGGGTATGCAACAACAATCCCCCCCACCCCCCAGGGAAAATGAATTTTTGCCCCCCGTGTCAGGGTCCAAATTAAACAAAGACAATTACAAACCTCTTTTTGTTAATGTCTTTCTACATTACACTACTAGGCCTACATAATAGATGATATGCACTGAAAAATAAAGGAAACTTTCATAATTAGTTTTGTACTAATTTCTATACTTGAAAGATATAGCTAAGCACATAATGACATGTTTCATGGGCCAGTGTGTCAGAAAAAAATAACAGATTTTTTTTTTTTTTTTTGGTTGAAAACCAATGCAATAGCTACACTGTCTGGCACTAACCCAGCGCCGCCAATTAAGCAAAAAAGAAAAACAAAAACGAATGGGCCGCCAATGTATGAGTTTTATGGGCCGTTAAGACAAGAAAAAAGTATGAGATGTAACGTTAGGCTAATGGTAACGGCCGAAAAAGCACGTTGGCCCACCGGGAATTTCCCGGTCGTCCTGCATGGCCACAGAGTTACATGCTTGGATGTCACAGTTTAAATCCTACCTGTTGGCTGTCAGTATGCAGTTATTTACCTGCTGTCGCATCAATTGACACGCCATCTCCTTTTCTCTCTTTCTTTTTCTATTTTCAGCCCCACCGCATTTTGTTTTATCCATCTTTTTCGACGACAACTCACTGACTACTCGTACCTGCTGTCCTGCTCACTCAGCGCTCACGGCCATGCCCATCCCCCCCAAATGAGGGCGCCTACTCTAGCCTGTTAGTCCTCTAAAATTTTAGATAACATTAAAGAAATGCAGAAATTATTTAGAAACGCACAGCTACATATAGAAATGCAATAGGCTATATATTTTAATTAAAAAAAAATTTTACCATCGCTTTGGCGCCCCCCATGGTGCTATGCGCCCATTGCGCCGCCCATTGCACCCACTTTTTGTGCCACTGATAATATTCCATGACATATCAGTAACTGAAGACTTGTCATTTAGCCAACTAAAAGATCAGCAATTGTGTTGTTACTATAATGACACAAAATATACCTATAGGCTACACTATATTGGTGGACAAACGCAGTGCACATCACAATGACAGTTGGTTGATTTTCACTCTCCACTTCCTGTGAAGTGATTGATGTTCCCTTATTCCCTACGCCATTTGAAATGCCCATCGAACTGAACATGTTCGTTCCCTTCAGATTGGAATATAGTTTATACTCTTTACTATTTAAAGAAATGGGCCATGGTGCACATATTTAGACCATTTGTGAACCCTGTTTTGTATTCAGACAGTTCAAAGGCCGGGACACACCAAGCCGGCGGTCGGTCGTCGGTGAGTGTGTGTTGGGGTGGTCTTTGCAGTGTGTTTCACTCGTCGACCTTCGTCGGGCTCACGTGGACAACAGTTTGCCCTATTCAGCATGTTGAATTGATGTCGGGCCATCGGTGAGAGTGGGAACGCACATGCAAGTTTGCAGTCGGCTTTAGTCTGTGCTGTGTTTTAGAGAGCTGTGTGTAGCCCCCCATCAGAGACCATTCTTAAGACTTGTGTTTGAGGGGGTGGCATACCAATATACTTCAGGTTGGACTCTCTATAGCTCTGCGTACTTTTACGAAGTATGTAAATTCGACTCTCTCCCCTCTAGGCTGAATGGAATTTGCATACTCAATTATCTTGACGACTAGCTGCTCATAGGCCAGTCAAGTCCAGCTCCTCAGTAATCTGAACGAGTTGGGCTTCAGGGTCAATTTTGGCATGAGCTTGCTGCTTCTCAACAAATTTCGTTCCTAGGAACTGTCTTCGACTCTACCCAAATAAAGGCTTGGCTCTCACAAGAGCGTGCCTTGAAAGTCAGGAGCAACGCAATTTAACGGAATAAAACGGAATTTATCGAGCATCCTTACACCTTCACCGGAAATACCGCCGTGCATAGAGCCCATTGAGTCGCCATCACGGAACAGGGGAGCCTCTCCTCTTTAATGCATAAGCGTCCATAT